GTATTGAAGACGAACTAAGCACAATCTCGGTGAATTCTTGCTGAAATTCGTCTACAATTCCGTAAAAGATATCCTTAGAGCAGGAATTTATTCTTCGACAAAGTTCACATAAGTCCTAAAACGAAGAACAGTGACCAGTCTTAACCACTCCTTTTGTCCGAAAAATTGGGTGAAAAGAATTCATAAATTGGGCTCACCAGAAAACAAAGTCGGAGTGTTTTGCAGTTTTGAATGCTCATCTATTCGAAAATGTTTGGAAACCATGATGAATGAGTGTTAGACTCTTGTCTGTCATGTGAAAATGAACGCAAGAGACATTCATTATTTAAGTAAAATTCGCAAAAACACTAAACCGAGATAGCCAATTTGATTTTTACTTGTATTGAATAGGTTTCAAAACTAACAGAAGGTCATAAATAAGAGATTATTCCCACAGAGTGATGCAGGGCTGATAGTTGAATTTTTCCACAAGTGAAAACAGTTCTTAATCAAGATCAACCGACTCAATTTGAAAATAGGTCATGCAGCCGATTGTATTCGAACCGCTTCAATCCGCCTTTCCAAACGAAGTGAAAGTTAAAACAACATGAAAAAGTCGAATGAGATAAAATTAACCGGTCTTAGCTGGAATCGCCTGAAGGTGGAAAGCTCAAACAAACAATGAGGTCGTGGACTGAATGGCTTGAAGAAGGCGTGCATTATCTTCTGGAAGTTGACGGAATTGCTTACCTCGGCCTTGGGGTCAACAAACAACCTCCGCGGTAGCATCACCCAGCAGCCAAAGTTCCACTCCGGAGAGATGGCTTCTTCTACAATGGGCGTCACCAGGCTGCGGCCAAGACGGCAGTTAGCCTCCATAGGGGTCCTGATGGGAAATCTCAGCTGGCCGTTCGAAGAGGGCATCGAGCCGATGGACTCCACGGGACAAGTGACGTAGGTGCAGAGGTGGTCAACCCTAGGCGATGAGGCCTCCAGTGCTCGACTTGGCTGCTGGTCTAGTTCTGGCTGATCTGAGAAGATAGCCGCAGCTGGAGAGGGATCGCGTGAGGAGACATGACTTCGAAGGCCATAAAGCCCGGCTGACAAACTGCGACAGAGAGAAGAGATAAAAAGGGAGGAAGATGAAAGTGAGAGAGAAGGAGAGAGTAGGAGAAGAAGAATACCATTCAAGAAAGGAATAAAATATAAAATTAATATTTATTAAAATAAAATAAAATAAATAACGGTGAGATCGTGTTGGCCTTTCGTCTGTCATGCCAATCAAAAGGCAAAATTAGCCGATGATTTAAAAAAACTTGTTGGGGAGAATTTCATTTCGTATGAAGCTGCATGGAGAAGAGATTCGAAGGTCGATCTC